TATCTAAGGTCAAGTGTCAATTATTAAGATGAGGTACTAATGTGTTCCCGCCAAGTGAGGACTGGATGTGTTAGAAATCTTGTTTAAGTAATGTTAAGCAAATACAGCTCCATTATCTGCCAAAATCTGATTAATCTAGATGCATGTGAATTCATAGGGGTGTCAATAATTGTTGCACACCTATGTTTAACAAAGATATATATTTTTTGATAAATCTATGTTGTGCTTGCAATTGTTTGATAGCCATGAGAGCAGAGTATTTTTGTGAATTTTTTTTAAACAAAAGATTAAACAATAAAGACATTTTTTTCTCTTTGGTCATATTTACCAAGGGTGCCAATATTAGTGAAGTATAGTGTTTTAAACGATTTATACGTTAGTTTAAGAAATTGTTTTATAGCTCCTACATTGACATGCTGGTGACTGAGAACACTGACTGACACTAAGTCATGGTTTGATTTCATGGACATTTTCCTGAAGAAGTTATCTGATCTACCTTCAACCTGAAAGTCCTATATTATATCGGAATAGTGGGCTAAAATGGCCGCATTTGGTGGAAATCGACAAAAACAAACAGCAGTTGCTTTCCGCATATCTCCTGGAGGTAGGCGTGTTCTTTAAACACTCCAAGGCAAACCACATCTCACTTTCCCCACCTCTCTTTTTCTCCACTGATAGCACATCACATATGTTTCTCAGAAGGCAGCCAGAAGCCACGAGGAGCTTTCACAGCATTCACAGCATTCACTAACTGTTAATATGTTGTGTCAACTATGTGATAAGGCCACAGTAGTGCAACGAACGTCTTATATTAACAGCAAGGGAGAAAACAAGTGCTACAGGGATGGCTGGATTACTTCTCGAGTCATATCCCATCTCAATATGGAAGCAATATCAATTCCACATTACTCCAAGCCACTCATCTTGTGTCCCCATGCAACCAGATCTTATCATTAGCTCGTAACGTTTATTCCAGTTGAAAGCAAACACAACACACAAAGTCACGAAATTGTTCCTGGCCAATCGCTTATCCTTTTACTTCCTACTTTGTGCTGCTCAGAAGATTATCCAGAGAAGTCGTTTTGCAACTACCACCCTTATTAGCCACATTAGCTATCTCATCTGCATGCACTGGAAACTGGAGCATGTTTTAACGTGTTTGTTTCCAGCCCCTCTGCCCTACTTAGTGATTTTCTCTTTAAGGCAAATGCAATATGGTGCAATCTGTCTATACGCATTACATTCGGACTGTCGACTGCAGATATTTCAGATTCGGGTGTGCCGCATGCCGTAGCTTAGCTACTCAGTGTAGACGTTGTGGCAACATAGCAGCCTCAATTACTCAGCTCTCAAAAGACTCAAAGGACCTTTTCACACCTGGTAATAAATAAGAGCTAGCACCCGCTGATTAGCACGGTTCCATTACTATAATGCAAATTTCACAGCTTTTGCGTTACATTAGGCTGGGTTTGCATTTCTGGTTGGACTCTTTTTTTTTGGGTTAAGGGTTATTTTTAAATTCTTACACTACTTTTCACTATTTAAATTTTTTCTACTATGAGGTTATAGTTGACACAAAGCTGTGAATTTGTGGTTTGGCTCACATGGATTGGACCCCCAGCTGACGATGGCTGCCATCATGCCCTTGAGCAATGCACTTACGCCCAACTTGCTTTAGGCTGTCTCTGTGGACTGGTTAATGTATGTTACTTTGGGCCATGCACATGCAATTATGATGAGCTTAATTCCCAATAGAAACGTCCGGCCATTTTAAAGAGCCACTCTTATGCATGCTTGCCCAAGATCTGTCTCTCCACCGTCTTGCGTTTTGGCTGCAGATCCTCAGCTGAACCTGCTGCCTGTCCGATTTCATCAGCCGCTAGGCAAGACATGAGTCACAAACATAAACCTCAAGTGCTACTGAAGTAGGGCTCATCTTCCCTTTCTACCCCCTCCCATCCTAGACAAGGAAACGACTGTCAATTTCCAGGTCTGACAGAGACAAAGATTTGTCACATGGGACATTCAGATCATCTTGACTCTGATCAGAACTGGCAGGTCTGTGGCATTAAGTAGTGCGCACGTGGACAATTAGGAGAAAGGGACAATATGCACGGGCCGCCTTCAGAGCTGCGACTAAACCACTGGGGATTGTAGTGGATTGATTATTTATAATAAGGATAGTTAATAAATGATGAGCTTTGTATTTTAAGGATGTTGGGATGGAGAATAAATTCAATTAAAGGGAAACAATTCTGGATACGTCACAATCCGATGTCATCACCTTGCAAACCCCCACTCCAGCACTACCACCACCACTACCAAAAAAAACCCCAAAACACCCCTACCCCCCCGCCACCACCGATCCTGAAAAAAGGACCCACACACACATGTTATTCTCTTTCCAACTTAGCTATAGCTACTCAACAAACAACAAACATGAAGACAGACAAATAAACACACCGCCAGACAAAGCAACCAGCAAACATAAACGTTTATCTATACATACATTAAGATGGATTACACCACAGTGAGGTTGAATACTTCATTCTGAAGATGTCAGAAGATGTTGATTAATTTTCTATAACAGCAGCTAGAAACAGGTGTAAGTGGGGGGCTTTACGACGGGCCCATGGTTACAGACGTTGCGCGTACAAATACAGAGCAGACCTGTTGCGGGAAATGACTGTTTACAAGATCGAGCTTGTCGAGAAAAATGAAGGCAACGCGTCCGTTTATAAAGTACATGTGAAAAAAAAGAAAGATAACAAGAACAGCTGGTGCTTTGTGTGCCATAAAAAATGTCTGTGGTCTCTGAGTTTTCCTTGTAGTCCAGAATGATGTGGTCAGTGGTGAGGTCTAGCGGGAGAGATATGGCGAGAGTAAAAGACAGGTGGCGAGTGCTTTGCGAGAGCTAGGGGACGAGGGGAATGAGCGGACACGTGGCTTTGCATTCGAATGTTGGGTCACCTCAGGCCTTGTGACAGTCTATAGGGAGTCAAGGAGTCATGTGGTCTTTGCTAGAAGTGATCGAACTTCCTGAGAAAAATGCTAATGTGGCTCATGAAGAATGCGAAAGTATTGTATTGTAGAAGGTCAGCTCCGGCCTCGTGACAGTTTGGGAGCATGTAGCGACTTATATTCCCACAATTCTTCACCACCAGGCATACTGCCATCACAAAAAAAAAATGCTAACATGACTATAACTGTAAAACAGCGAACTTCTTACAAGCTCCAAAAAAAAAAGAGCTAAAGTTCAAATGATATAGTGATAAGAAAAAAGAGGAAACTACAGAAGCCCTAGCCACCGCTAATCACATCTGTATTTGGGTTAACAAAACAAGCCAGAGACAGCCAGCTCTTGCTGTCTCGATGATGTCACGCTTGCTGTCAACACTTCAGATGGAGGAAGTGACTTGGCAGGACTCCGCTTGAGCCGCTGGGCTTCTCCTCCTCTTACTACAGAGTTAAAAAAAGGTGTTCACGTCTGCTTAATTGGGCTCGTCTGAAGAGGTTTACGCGCATCGTAAAGCGCGTGCTTAACTTGTTTGAGGTTATAATTTGGATGGAACGCACGTTACTAGGCAAAAACAGGTTTATTGCTCAGCCTTTAAACAGTGAGATTGAGTTATAGTTCAGATCAGTAGTTTACTCTCCACCTGGGAAAGCTGGCTTGCAGAACGGTTTATATACAGAGACTTCAAACAACAGGCGCTGGGATGAAGTTCCAAGAGAATCAAATAAAATATCAAATATAAAATTATATAGTCGGATGTTGTACAAACGTACAGGAGATACGCTTTAAATGAAAATTTCGTTAGCAGACATTATTGAACACATTAGATAACACAACATAAGTAACTGTAACAAATTAACACTTTTATTCATTTGAAGTTGCGTTGTGATGACGTCACATGATACGGCTGGCCAAAATCGGCGGTAATTTAAAAAAAAAATTGCACGACCTTTTGAATTTTGTGGAGTTTGCTTGATTTTTCGTTCATTTCTACGATCGCAAAATCCTGTAACGACTGGTTTATTATGTGGCTTGTTTATTTGTTTACAAAGTGCTGTATTATTTGTTTTTCCATCCATCCATCCATCCATGTTCTACCGCTTACTCCTTTTTCAGGGTCGCGGGGAACGTGTTAACTCACTTTGTCACGCTGATTACATTACAAACGTGTATCGCGTGCTAATGTTAAATAACACAGTAAATAACCTTAAGGTAAAAGCGTTCGCATTAAAATGACCCAGTCTGCAAATGGTCCACAGCTCTGTAAACGAGTGTTTGATAAAAGATTTACAGCACGTCATTTCTGCAGTTTAAGATGATCTGGATGAAAATAACACACAGATAACACAGGGTTAACGTTTATCTTGGTTGAGTGAGAGGGGATAATACGCCCGCACGGCCAGGAACTCTTCAGTGGTTTGAGGACAGGTAAAATTCTTCAGTTTGGTCTAAGTAGCATATTGTTTAGACTGCATGTGACTACAATACCTTTTAAATACCTAAGACCCTGTGAGAGTCGAGAGTCTTACTCTGTTGATCGTTTGTACAAGGATGTGCTGTTATAGGAAAATGATCAATGACAGGGTCGTGCGATACCACCTGACACGATGGATTAATACTTTTAATCCCTTCATAATTACATTCAATGTCGTGTCCACAAAACAAAATAGTCCCTATTAACACTTAAGTTATAGTATTTCCATCTATCCATCCATCCATTTTTCTATACCACTTATCCTATAGGGTAACGGGGAACCTGGAGCCTATCCCAGGGAGCATTGGACACAAGGCGGGGTACACCCTGGACAGGGTGCCAATCCGATCCATCGCAGGGCACAATCACATACACATTCACACACCCATTCATACACTATGGACACTTTGGACACGCCAATCAGCCTACCATGCAGGTCTTTGGACTGGGGGAGGAAACCGGAGTACCCGGAAGAAACCCCCAGAGCATGGGGAGAACTCCAGACACACAGGGACGTGGTGGGAATCGATCCCCTGACCCTGAACGTGTGAGGCAAATGTACTAACCACTAAGCCACCGTGCGCCCGTTAAAGTACTTATAAACTGTATTTTTTTTTATGTAAAACATATTGATCAATAGTACTGACACTGGAGACTCCTTCCATAAACATCCTTCTTATTGAAGGAACACTGAATGTGTCCTTTTCGGAGACTTCCATTACATTATACTGCTCGCCAGAGATCCCGCAGAAGTTCTGAACTCTGGAACAATATTCCATAGAATATAATAAACCCAAACACTATAGTTTAACACGGCCTATTTTTGAGTCATATATCTTGTTAAAAATACTTCTCATTTGTAATAATTCTCATAAATGTAATGAACTGCTGATTATTTAATCCATGTGCTGTATTACAGACATTTTGGCAATCCAGGAATTTGGGATTACAAAGTGTTAACTAATAAAAAAAAATAAATAAAAAAAAAAGACCATGCAAATTATTGTCATATGAAAAATGTAATATCCACGTATAATGCTTTGAAGAAGAGCTATTTCCTTATGTCCAGGTTATGATCTGCTGGCTGGCTGCTAAAGAAAAGATGTTTCAGTCTTCTGGCATTCGTTCCATTATCAACTCTAGAGCACTTGAGGTTAATGGACCCTGAAGTCCGGCTATCTCCATAAATCAACTCGGTATTTAAACACAGAGGCTTGCTTATTAAAAACTAAACTGTAAATTTTGTGTAGAAATGTAATCCGTGGCATCTGCAGTCATATTTTATAGTGTCTTAAATTGTTAATGTATAAAAACCAGCAAAGAAATGAAGTGTTGGGATGCCGGATAGTATGAGTGTAATGTTCAAGGTGAAAAATTCAGGAAGATACAGTGCATTATGGGTATCCAGATGATGTGTTAGAACGACGGGAAAATGAAGTGTGTAAGTAAAATGTTGGATGAAGTAGAATGGGCGGAGCCATTCGAAATTTCGACGAGGTTTGAATTTTGCTAAATGATTGATGCTCCATTAGATATTAGAAGCAAACCCTGGATATTTTGTATATATTATAAAATGTGCTATTACACAGATGTGAGATCGTCAGTTCACTTCAGTTTTATTTCTAACGTGTGTTTACCAATAGCCAGCCTGCACAGGATTTTGATGCGGCTTTCTTCAAAATTTTCGATGCAGTTTCCAGAGATTTTTTGTGCTTTTTTCTTTCTTATTGGAAAACTACTTCTTTTGCAATCGCACAAAATTGTTTTGCACGGTCTTTCTCAGTGATGTTTGTCGGTCAACGAGACCTTTTAGCTGTACTCGTGTTCGGTGGACCTGAATTGAAAAGGGTTTTGACCGAATGCGCATTGTGATGCCGTTACATGACGTGTCTTGGCCCAAATCTGCCGAATTTAGAAAAATCGCAAACTCGCAAAGTTTGTAGATTTGTATCTTTAGATCTGTATGTAGACTTAGATCCCTATTGAGCAATCTAGAGGCGACAGTCGTGCTGGATTCCAAATCTATCCTCTTGAACTATAATCTATAAAGTCAAATTTTACTAAGAGTATTGAAAAAATGTTCAGTATGAGCAGTCTTGATCATTACAGCAGTAGTTTTGAGGAGTGTAAATCTTAAGATTATCTTAAGAGTAAATCATAAGATGATGATTAATCACGTACATGTGAGCCTCTGCAGAATTAATCTATGTCAGTTCGCTCCATCATTCCATCAGTAACTAAGTTTAACTGATCGCTTAATCAACTTCTTCAAATTAGGGCAGAATGGTGTCAACACTGATGACCATCAAAGACGCTATTCTATGGCATGCATGTGAAACTGAAGATCACATCCAGCTCCAGACAAATCCATAACAAACAGCACTGTTGTGAGGGTTTCAATATCATCATCTCCAAATCTAGAAACCAGAATGTTCAAAATATTCGCTTAAAAATTCCTCTCTTCTTTACTAATCTCGCTCCTTCTTATCTCTCTGATCTTCCGTACCAGTTCGCCCAAACCCTCAGATCCTCCACTTGTTTACTATTCATCCTAAATTCTCTAGCTTTAGGCAGAAGGCTTTCTCTAGAGAGGCTCCTTGAAGTTGGAACACTCTTCTCCATAGAGTTAGGCAACTTCTAACATGCTCCATCCTTAAAAATAATTCCGCAAGCAGATTTCCCCTCAGGCCTCATCAACCTACCACTCATCTTATTGAATTCATTATTCGTGTCGTTTCTATTCAGTCCTATATAATTAACGTAGATAATTACCGAAGTATTTGCTAATTGAATGCTTTTGTGTTAACAGTACGCTCTGTTAGCAACAGTTCAGTCAGTCGATCAGTCGCAGATGACCGATAAGTAGCCAG